TTGCCTCGTTTTTGTGCTTTAAATCTGAAATGCGTGTGAAACTGTAGCATACGTTTTTTTTGTTGTGCTATATTTTTGGAAAGGTAATTTTAAATTATTTTCAATGAATTAAAAATATACAGGGTGTCGCATATAAAAAATCAAATTTTCTGCCGATAATTCCTAAATTATTAATTTTAAAAAAATTGTACTTAAACCATTAAATTCTACGTAAAAATGTGCCTTGGAAATCATTTCATAAATACAAAATTTTCCATAGAAAAAAAGTAACAGCAATTTGTTAAAAATGCACATTTTTGAAAAACACCCCGTAACTCCAAAACAGTAACAGGTATCGATGTACGGTTTTTACCATCATATTATTGATCAAAATTGAGCTCCAGACACCGATATTACTTTTTGTCTATCTTCTATAGAAAAGGATATTTCCCTTTAAAAGCGTCCAATTTGGCCGACCCTGTACAGGGTGTCCCATTTTAATTAAAACAGTACGGTATCTCCGTTATTAGTAAACAGAGGAGGATGCTGTTTGCACAAACCTGTCCCACTTTTTTGTCAAACGAAAGACGCTGTAAACAAAATGTTCATAGCCCTCTTCGTTTCTGAGCTACAAGGTCTTTTCGAAAATTTTGCAATTTGAGACAGATCCCTGTGTCTCCGTTATTGTGGATGATATCGAGAAGGTGGAAACTGATATTGTAGAACTTTTTTACGTAGAATACAGTGGGGTAGTCTGTTTTTCTACGAAAAAAATATTTTTGAAAATATGAACTAAAGTGATATTTTTTCAGATGGAACATCCAGTATATTTATAAATCATATGGTCCGTGTTGAACCATATATGATCTCAAAAATATATATTGCTCTATATTTATTTTCACTATTTACTGAAATATTTAAAATATATCATTTTTTTATTAGTAGGCCGTGATAAATAAAAAAAATAAAATATTATTTACTAAAATAGTCATACAAATATTAAAATTTTATTTGGGGTTGGTATATTTTACTTTTGAGCTGTTCAAAAATCCCCAAAAACAGAAATTGAGAACGGACAAATCCGGGAATTAGGGAGTCAATCATATGGGCTCCCTATTTCCCATTTAATTCCCAATAATTATTAATATTTTGAAACTTGTGAGGGGGATCCAAATCATTAGGAATATCTAAAAGTTCCGGTATTATAGTTTCCAAAACTTTACAAATAGCGGTAGACTTAAGTTTTCCTAATACAGGGTGAGTTTCCTACGATGTTCTCTATGGGTATCTCGGAAACTACTGGAGATAGAGAGTCGGTTAAATGAGGAAAGAATTGCAGTTTTGTGGGATCATAAATATGCGCCTTTCAGATTTTGAAAAAAGTGCATGGCTTACCAGATGCCTCGAAAAAACACAAATTTCGGCTATTTTGAATTGTCTCTAATTCCATTTTAGATTCATTTTAGACAAAACGTTTCAGACAAAGTCACATCCTTACGAGATTGTGTCCTCGTTTTTTTTCTAAAGCCTGTCATTTTTGACATGACACAAACATAGCGTTTTTTAAGTGAAAAACCATAGTTGAGCTGCATAAAAGCGCCATTTTTAAACTTTTCAGCGATGTTTCATATTTTTCTTTCGAAAATTACTGACTTATAGCCAATTCTTATCATTTTTAAACAATTTCACTTAGTTAGCCATGGAAACAAGTTCAATCGCAGTTGCTCTCAGAAATGTGAAGCTGTCACATCTAAACTTTGTATATTAAAATAATTATAAGAATTAGCTATAACTCAGTAATTTTTCGAAGAAAACATATTATAGCTTATATTGCCGAAAAGCTTAAAAAATGGCGCTTTTTATGAAGTCATGGCCAACTATGGTTTCCATTTAAAAAACATATGTTTGTGTCATATGTCAAAAATGACAGGCTTTAGAGAGAAAAACGGATGACACCGTCTCATTATGGATGTGATTATTACAACTTTAATCTGAAAAACTTTTTGTCTAAAATAGCTTATAATGGAATTAGGGACAATTCTTAAATAGCCGAAATTCTTATTTTTTTTAAATATCTAGTAAGCTATGAACTTTTCAAAAAAATCTAAAAGGCGCATATGTATGACCCACAAAACTGCAATACTTTCCCCATTTAACCGACTCTCTATCTCTAGTAGTTTCCGAGATACCCATAGAGAACATCGTAGGAAACTCACCCTGTATATAATAAATTTATTAGCGGCTTCCAAAATAAAACAAGAGACAGATAGCAGTATACTTTTAATAATTCTTTAGTTTCTTTTATTATTTATCAATCATGGACTAGGTACTAATAAATATGTTATTTTAATAAAAACTTTTAAGTAGTGCAATAAATAGTGAAAATAAATTTAGAGTGATTTTTGAGAAGCTTATGGTAATCCAGATTATGTAATTTATAAATATACAGGGTGTTCTATTTAAGAAAACATAACTTTAGTTCATATCTTTAAAAATATTATTTTCGCAGAATAACAGACTACGCCACTGTATTCTACGCAAAAAGTTCTACAACAAGCGGTTTTCACCTTCAAGATACCTTTAACAATGATTAGAGATACAGGGGGTGTACCAAATTGTAAAATTTTCAAAAAGACCCTGTAGTTCAGAAACTAAGGGAGCTATGAAAATTTTGTTTACGGTATGCTTCGTTTGACAAAAAACAGTTGGACAGGTTTGTACCAGTGGCGCATCTAGAGATTGAGTCTGGGAGGGGTAGTGAAAATATTCAAAAAAGTACTAAATTTGAATTAAATTTTTGTTGAAAGGTATTGTAACTGTGGAAAAAATCTACTTGAATTGGTTTGGATATTCTGTTTTAATTTGTATTATTAAGTTTTTTGTAACAATTTTATTTTATACCAAATTTCATCTTATTAATTAATTTCTTTCTGGGAGGGGTATTACTCCCATTACCCCTCCCTTATATGCGCCCCTGTATAGGGATTGTTTCTCTCTACAATTTCCTGTTTTACTATCTACCGTTTGTGTCCGGGAAGGGTTCATAGTTTCATAGTTGTCGATTTTCGAAAGAAATCAGTACATGTATATTATTTCGTATATTTTTCATTTTATTGATTTTATGGAAAGAACTGTTCATTAAAATGTTGTATCCTATGTTATAGGGCTTGTTTTCTCTACAATTTCCTGTTTCAAAATGTACCATTTGTGTAGAGGAAGGGATCATAGTTTCATAGTTGTCGATTTTCGAAAGAAATCAGTACATGTATTTTATTTCCTATATTTTTCATTTTATTGATTTTACGGAAAGCACTGTTCATTAAAATGTTGTATCCTATGTTAAAGTTCTTGTTTCTCTCTACAATTTCCTGTCTCACAATGTACCGTTTGTGTCCGGGAAGGGTTCATAGTTTCATCGTTGTCGATTTTCGAAAGAAATCAGTACATGTATATTATTTCGTATATTTTTCATTTTATTGATTTTATGGAAAGAACTGTTCATTAAAATGTTGTATTCTATGTTATAGGGCTCGTTTCTCTCTACAATTTCCTGTTTCACAATGTACCATTTGTGTCGGGGAAGGGATCATAGTTTCATAGTTGTCGATTTTCGAAAGAAATCAGCATGTATATTATTTCGTATATTTTTCATTTTATTCATTTTATGGAAAGCATTGTTCATTAAAATGTTGTATCCTGTGTTATAGGGCCTCGTTTCTCTCTACAATTTCCTGTCTCACAATGTACCGTTTGTGTCCGGGGAAGGGTTCATAGTTTCATCGCTGTCGATTTTCGAAAGAAATAATTAAAATATATGAGGGGTAATTACCCCCATTACCCCTCCCGTATATGCGCCCCTGATTTGTACAAACCGCAAACTTTTATCTTCACTAATAACAGAGATACCGTATGATTTCAACCAAAATGGGACACCCTGTACAATAAACAGTATAATCTGTACGGGCCTAGAGAGCTGATGATTAATGTTAAACTAAACACTTATTAGAGTCAGACCTGTTCTAAGTCATTTTTTCTCTCCCTAAGATACGTCTTAATCTGTTATCTCCTTAATGATGAGGAGCGTCTCCGTCGGCGAAACGTCGCGTCGCGTGGTGTGTTTACCGGTCCGCTCATTGTTGCTTATTATGTGCTCTACTAACAACGAACAGAACGGCCGTATCGATAAAGACACTTGTTACTGACCGGTTTGTTGGTTTATTTTAATACAGCTATCTGTAGCAAAGAATGTTATCATTATTACGGCTAGCCTCAATAGCCAGAACATGTATATAATTTAACAAGAGGTGTTCGTACTGATAATGTAACAGCAGCCTGTTTTGTGATATGGAATATTTATTTGTGGATGAATGAGAGATCTAAAATATAGTCTATTGCAATTATCATCTATAAACTATACCAGGTCGTTAGAAGCACATGATTTTACATCATCATCATCACGCAGCCCCTTTCACGTCCATAGTTGAACATAGGCCTCCTCTAAACGCGTCTCCAGTTCTCGCGGTTTTTAGCTGTTGCAATCCAGTTAGTTGTTATTCGTTTCAGGTCGTCGGTCCATCCATCAGGTGGGAGGTTTGCCTTGGCTACGCTTGTCAGCTCTTGGTCTCCACTCTATAAGTTTTTGGTCCATCTCCCGTCTGCCATTCTAGCAATGTGTCCAGCCCATCTCCACTTGTGATTTATGATTCGCTGGATAATATCATCCACTCCCGTACGTCGGCGTATCTCTTCATTTCTTACTCGATCTCTCAAAGTCGGGCCAATCATAGTTCTCTCCATCATCCTCTGTGTCACTCTCAATTTTTCTGCGGTTGCTTTTGTTAGAGTGAGTGTCTCTGCGCCATAGGTCAAAACCGGGAGGATACATTGGTTAAATGCTTTTCTTTTCAGGTGTATTGGGATATTTGCTCTAAAGATGTCCCTCATTTTTCCGTAAGCCGCCCATCCCAAGGTAATTCGTCTAGCCAGTTCACAGGTTTGGTTATCTCTGCTTATTTTGATCCTCATGGCCCAAGTATACATATTTGTGGACTAATTTCTATTCTGTTGTTGTGAATTTGTATGTGTTCGCTGGGCACCATATTAGTCATTATCTTAGTCTTGTCAAAATTTATTGTTAGTCCAATCTCGTGTAATGCATCGTTAAGTTCTTGAAGCATGTCTTTGATCTCTCCCAGACTATCTGACACTATAACGATATCATCCGCAAAGCGTAGGTGGTTGAGTCTCTCTCCATCGATAACTATTCCTTTTTGTTGCCAAGCCAACATTTTGAATGCATGCTCAAGAACAGTAATAAACAATTCTGGCGATATGGTATCGCCCTGCCTAACTCCCCTTTTTATTTTTATCTGGTTAGTTGTGGAATGTAGATTTACAGTTATTGTAGCATTGTCCTGATTTTACAGCAAAGTCGTAAATATATAGGTTCTACGTATACTGAATAAACATGCCAAATTTGAACAATTTTGGACAAGCCGATTTTAACTAATTTAAGAAAACCTGCATCTATTTTTAAATTAAACCTGAACAGGTAACAATGCAAAACTAGACAAATGTCAACATACCTTAAGTTGGCAACCTGTGATTATTGTCAAATGCATTAGTTGCGCTATACAGGGTGTTCCAAAAAATATGTGCCATCTCTCGTGGGGGATTGCTCGCATAAAAATACGATCAATTTTTCATATCAACATTGCTCCAATTCTGCTTTGTTTCGTAGCTAAAAAATCCTGTTTCGGCTGTTAAAATTTTAAGATTTTTTCGATTTATTTATAATCTTCTTCCAAGTACTTTTAGCGTTTCGAATGAAATTTTGAGGGTAAAAGTTACTATAAATGCGACATATTTTAAAGCTAAAAAAGTGTCAAATATTTACCAGGGACGTGCATATGAGTTATTTCTAAAAAAGCATGTACTCCACTGACTTTTTTTTCTTGTTAGTAAAATAGTGTAAGCTGTTTAATACCGATTAAAAGTTGTCTTTTGATATTTTGTCGATTTCAGCCTCTTTGATGAGATAAACGCTATTTTATTAATTTGCCTTGATCCTAGTCTAACAGCCACCTTCCAAAAATTTTAATATCATTAACTTGCAAAAGTGTTAAATAAGTATTCATGGATTCCCCATCAAAAAATATGAAAAAAAGTTCCTATAAACATGGATATGCAAATGCATAGTTTTAGAGTTGCAGGGATGTGAAAACTTTTTTAAAATTAGGTTTTTTGTAATTATCTTAAATACCATTATTTTATTATTTGATATTGTTGTAGGCTGGACTAAAAGTAATAATATTTAATAATAAATTAGGTAAAATATTTAATTTATTAATTTTATTTTAATTTTATTAATTGTGACTTGTGACTAATAAAATTGCGTTTATCTCATCAAGGAGGCCGAATTCGACAAAATATGAAGAGATAACATTTAGTTGGCATTAAACGGTCTACACAATTTTGATATTAAAAGAAAAAAATTATATGTATATTTCATATTTTTTGCACATGTTTTTTTTTTTTTCGAAAAAATATTCCAGTGATAGACCCCATATGGCACGTCCCTGATGAATTTATCTTTGCGCCCTGACGCACAACAGCCAAGAAAAACAGAAGCGTGGCTAAGAATTTAGTAATTTAAAAAAAATATCTTTTAGATACAGTAGTAGGTATTAAAAAGTTTTGTGTTTAAATGGGGTTTGCCTTTAACAGTTAAAAAAATTATATCGTAAAGTGTAACTTTCCGTAAGAATTCTTTATCTGTCATCGATCATGATCTGTCATCATGTTAACCTGATGTTTTGTATGTTATTTTGTTTTTTTGCTTGTTTGTTTTACGGATAGGTGCGATCGCATAATTATTATTGATAATGTTTTATTTAATGTTAACAAATACTACTTTTTCAGTGAATCTTTAAATCTGTTGTTTTTTGTTAAGTTTGTTATTTAAACATATGTATGTAATACACTCATATTAACACTAATCATAATTTTACGTTTTTATTCTTCATTTTCAATGCCCCCCCGGTTGCATCTTTGTAAAGGACTGTGAATTTTTTATACAGGGTGCTACAAATTCGATATACGAGCATTGGTGTCTCGGCTACCGTATTAGATACGAATATGATTAAATTGGTGCTTTGGGCTGTTCACCAAGATGCCATCAAAAAAGTTTTAAAAATTTTAAGGATGAGAGTTTTGGAAAAAACGGTTTTTTTTTGAAAATACATTTTATTTTTTCTGTCGTTCTTCTTCTTCTTTCTCAGCCTGGTTCCATCCAGTGTTGGATATAGGCCTCTTCTAGGTTTTTCCATGCTTCGCGATCTCTAGCCAATCTTATCCATTGTCTTCCCGCCACTGCCCTGACGTAATCGACCCATCTCTTTTTTGGTCGGCCCACACTTCTTGTTGTTCATTTAGGTCTCCATAGGATTTACATATTATTTTATGGGGCCATCGGTCTGGATTCTGTCTTGCCACATGTCCTATCTATTGCCACTTCAGACTTGCCACTCTTTTAACGACATTTATTAATTTTGTTTTTTGACGTATGTGGGTATTCCGTATTTTTTCCCTAATGGTGACTCCCAACATGATTCTTTCCATGGCTCTTTGTGCTACTCGTAGTTGTTCTTTTGTTTTTCGAGTAATTGCCATAGTCTCTAAGCCATACGTAAGCACAGGTAGAATGCAGCTGTCGTAAGCCTTTTTCTTTAGGTTCATGGGCACCTTTTTATCGTTGAAAATATCCCTCATATTTCCAAATGCTACCTATGCCAAATGGATCCTGCGTTGAATCTCCGTATTTTGGTTTTCCTTGCCCAGCTTGATTTTATGACCTAAATATATATAATGGTCTACGTTTTCAATAATAACGTTGTCAACGGTAATGTTATGGATATTGTTGCTCACTATCTTGGTCTTCTTGAAGTTTATTTTAAGGCCAATTTTCTGGGATTGGTCATTTAGCTCATTTAGCATGGTGTTTAGTTCTTGAATGTCGGTGCTCAGCAAGACAATATCGTCTGCGAATCTCAGATGGCTAAAGTGTACCCCATCGATGTTTAGACCTCTATTTTCCCATTCTAATTTTTTGAAGACATTTTCCAGTGCCAGTGTAAATAACTTGGGAGAGATGGTATCTTCTTGTCTCACGCCCTTGCCTATTGTATTTTTTCTGTTTTGAGGTCATCACCTAATTTAGCGTCGTAATTTTTCTGTCGTAATTTTTGAGAAAATCAAAATACTAATTACATATTCGCATGCTATCTGATGGTATTTTTAGATTTTCAAATAAGCTGATAATTTGTGAGATACAGAGGCCGACTTAATTTTTTTAAATACGGACCTGCATTTTTTATTTCAGATTTTGTCCAAACAAAAAAAATAAGTATAGCATATCATTGTATTCAGGAGACGGAGTTCTTTCAAAACCTGATATAAAAAATGCAAGACTGTATTTAAAAAATTAAGTTGGCCTCTGTATCTCACAAATTATCAGCTAACTAATACGAAACTCTAAAATACTATCAGATATTCCTAATAAAAGGGCTATGAGAATGTGCAATTCGTTTTTTGATTTTCTAAAAAGTAACGACAGGAAAAAGTAAAATTGATTTTCAAAAAAATCCGTTTTTTTTTTCAAAAAACTTAGCAATCCCTAAAATTTTAAAAACTGCTATCAAATTTTTTGCGGGCATCTTGGTGAAAATCCCAAAATCGCAACTATGCTCCAATTTAACCATGTTCGTATCTATTACGGTTACTGAGATACTAATGCTCGTACCCCGAATGTTTAGCACCCGGTATATTTTTTTATAAGGTTTGGTTTGGTTTGGCCCGGTGGCGTAGAGGTACAGGCTCTCGTCTACCATTATTAATGTGTGGGTTCGATTGCCACACCCGGCATTTCATCAGCCGACTATTTTTATTAAAATAAAAATAGTTTGGGTACCTAGGTCGACTCAGCCTTGAATGAGTACTTGGGATTCACAATCCTGAGGTAATAATAGGCGGTTGAAGCGAGTGCTAGCCACATTACCTTCCTTCAACCTACCAACGGCTCTAGTATAGCAAGCTGTACCTTGCTACTCCCAAGGCGTTAAACGCTATATACGGGAGCTATTATTATTATTATATTTTTTATGTGGTGTTTTGCTTAACACACACCATAGTTTTCTTTAAATAAAATAACTCGATTAGATATTTTCCGTACAGTTTTATCATAATATTTTGAATTATTCGTTTGTCAATAAAATTTTAAAGATATTATTTTCCCGCTTTACATTCCAATTGTACCGACTTATTTCTTTGTAAAATAAAATAAACTACTTTGAAATTAAAATAGCAGACACATCTATCATTGTAAATTTTTTGCTGTTGGAGAGACTACGAAGTATGAGTATATTTTTAATATCATCTAAACTTGGAAGTAAACTTTCTAGTAATTAAAATATGAATGAATATAAAATAATCTTTCTACTTACCTGAAAAAATAAGACAAACGCAATCCACTGGTAATACCTAAGTTGCTTTATTGGTTTATTGCCAGTAAATAGGATCCCAGGATAATGCTCCGTATCTGTGATTAACTTGTTGTGGGCATCAACCACGGTGAACGTTGAATGAATCCAACAAAATGTATTTAGAACATCTTCAGGAATATCCCTAAAATAAAGAAAAAAATCTGACTAGATTTTTTATTTTTGTATATAATGTAGTACATTATATGTATTATTTACACTATGTCCCCGGATTGACTTTACAGGTGGAAAAACTTTTTTAGTATAAACATTTTAAGAAAAATGCATTCTTTATAAAAAAATATTGCTTATTCTAAAATGGTTATTCCCGTTTGTAATTTTAGAAATTTCCATACCGTTTTAGAGAAAATTAGAAAAACATGAAAATATATGAAGTTTGACTGTTTTATACAAAATTTTCTACATATTTAAAGCTTTCCCAAAATTATAACAAGCACAAAGTTAGTAATAAAAATAATAAATATATAAAACATATTTATATAATAATAATGAATAATATATTTTTTGTGATGGCTACAAAACACAGCTCTACAAAATTCCATCCTAATTTTAAAAATCCAGCATTCTATTCTGACTTTTATTCAAATCACACTTTCTTCCCTCAATACCCAATCTCCTTATTTAGTTATATTCGAGATCAGATAAAAGTTTAAAAATAGTAATTTCAGAGAGAAGTACTGTTTACTAGAAAAAAATATATTTTAAAATGAAAAAATATTAAAAGTGACTCAAAATATACAGCCTTAAAATGTTTTTAATGTTCCCATATATCTTTTAATTTAAAAATCGACAGGCAGACATAACACATCATTAATATGAAAATATAGACTCTAACTAATAGATAAGTTAATGCAACGGAAATTAAAGTGATATACTATTTTAGATTGAAATATACCTACAGAATAATTAATAAATGTAAGAAAAACACTGTGTGCATTATGTGAGCATATTTGAAGTGAAACTTCTTACTAACAGCTATTAAATTAAAGGATATATATTTTTTATGAATTAAAAATTGATTAAAGGATTTTTGTTTGGGAGGAAACACCTCCACTGGAAAGGTCGGGTATTCATGAAATTTCTAGTAAAGATTATAATCAGAAATATGTTGGGCAAACTAGAAGATCAATTTTAACTATATTGTTAAATTCTTTTGAATTCGTGGTTAATGTCAAGCAGTGACTGCCGCGGCGACGCTATCCCTTCACTGTCGTTCGCGTCCCGCCTTCTTGGCGCACATGCGTGAACAACCAGATAATTAAAAAGAGCGCCAGATTCAAATATTACAAATAGAATCTAACACGGCCAAACTGACATCATTCCGCTCTCGGAATGTACAAGTT